GCTCTCTCTACTGCCGACCCGTCGTTGTTTCTACGCACCGACACCTCTCTGCCGGCGTTCTACATCCTCGTGTACGTCGACGACTTGGTCTTTGCCACAGCTGACACTGCTGGACTCGCCCACGTGAAGTCCGAGCTGCAGAAGAGACACACGTGCACAGACCTGTGTGAACTGCGCAGCTACCTTGGCTTGCAGATCACCCGGGACAGAGCACGCCGCACCATTACCCTGACTTAGTCACACATGGTGCAGCAGGTCCTTCAGCGCTTCGGCTTCACGTACTCCTCGCCTCAGGCCACTCCTCTGTCTACTCGCCACTCGCTCTCAGCTCTGCCTTCGGATGAGTCCGTAGAGTCGAGTGGCCCGTACCCAGAGCTTGTTGGCTGCCTCATGTACCTGATGACCTGCACACGACCTGACCTTGCATACCCTCTTAGCATTCTTGCACGCTATGTTGCTCCTGGGAGACACAGACCAGAGCACATGGCTGCAGCGAAGAGGGTGTTGCGCTACTTGTGCAGTACGTCGGGCATGGGGCTAGTGCTTGGAGGGCGGAGTCCAGTGGTCCTCATTGGGCACGCGGACGCTTCTTGGGCAGACGACCAGGCTACGCAGCGGTCGTCACAGGGTTACACCTTCAGCCTTGGTTCCGGCTCTGTCTCGTGGCGGGCTACTCGCTCGTCTTCTGTTCTCGGCTCCAGTTGTGAGGCTGAGATCTACGCCGGGGCCATGGCTGCACAGGAGCTTCGCTGGCTTACCTACCTGCTGACTGACCTCGGAGAGCCGCCTCGTTCCCCTCCGGTGCTGTACGTAGACAACAAGGCCATGCTGACCTTGTGTCGGGAGCAGCGCCTGGAGCACAGAACGAAGCACATTGCTCTCCGCTACTTTCTTGCTCATGAGTTGCAGCAGCGTGGTCAGTTGCGACTTGCGTACGTGGCCTCTGAGGCCAACACTGCTGATGTTTTCACCAAGGCACTTGCGCCTTGTGATCATCAGCGCTTCTGTACTCAGCTTGGTCTTGTGCCTGTCTTGCCTCACTTGCTCACCTCTTGACCCTGCTTGTACTGTTACATATATATACACCTGCCCTTGCTTGTCTAGCTTTCTATATATATGTACTCATGCATGTGAACTGGCCTTGTGGCCTTGAACTTGTGCTCGGAATGTGTGGTGACTTTGTGATCCACCCTGAGCTTGCTTTGCTTTGCTTTGCTTGACTGGTCTTGTGACCGCTTGTTCTCCCCCACTTTGCCTATGGGGGTGTGTCAGAACATTATAGCTTATGCTTTTGTGTAGGCTGTAGTGGGGTAGCCCATATAGGGTACAACCCAATTAGGGTTAGTACTTGTACCCAACTGTTTTATAGTTTATTCATTCTCGTTCTCATCTTCTCAAGAGCAGGCCATTGGGTCCGGGCATGAGCACCGAGGCGAGCGCGGTGTGGCTTCTTCACTGCCGACAGCTCGTCTGTCAAGAGGGGATAAGCATGATAGCCAAGGGAGGGGAAGGGGGTAAGTTAAACGGTGAGGGACTAAGGACGAGTGGGAGGATCGAAATGCAAGGAGGGGACGAGATCGTACAGGGCCGACCATGGGGAGAAAATCGGGAGACGAAGCGAGCTGTAGCTGGACGCGACAAGGAAAAAAAAAAACCAGAAGGCAAAGGTGAACAGGTGGCACAGTGAGAGTGCGGAAGCACAGCCAAGGCAACCAAAGCATTCTAGAGAGATTGACTGGGAGCCCAGGGAGCTTCCCGGGTCAAAACTCTATGCAAGAGCAATGGCACGTCGCGGTGATGGGGGCCCGGGTGGCCAGAGGGGGGAGGTAGGAGGAGAACGAAGCAGAGAAAATAGAGACACATGCAACGCTACTGTATGCCAGGGACGGATGGTACCAGTCCACATAGGTAGGGAAACAGGCGGCCGGAAAAGACGCGTGAAGAATAGGGCGGCGCGGAGTGACTACTGGGATGCAAAACCGAGGAACCAGCCATGCGAGAGATGGACCATGCAATGGAGCATGCATCGATGGGGATACCGGCCTAAGTAGGAGGCCGGCGCGTAACCATACAAGTGCACATGGCAAAGGGCGGCACGAGAAAGTCGGTAGCATAAGAATCGGAAACGTTGAAGTGGGAGACAGAGGTTGCGATAATGCGGAAATGAAATGAAGGGCTAGCAAGAGGGATCAGGGTGGCTGCAAATCTGCCAACATACATAGACTAACACATGACGAAATAGTTGAGGATGAAAAGAGCAGCAGCCATGTGAGGAACATTCGGCAGAAGGGTAAAGTGAACGAGGAGTTGAGAAGTCGTGAGACATGGAGGAGAGAGACATCGTCCACACACACACCTGCAAAGCTACGAAATGTTAGAGCAAACGAGAAGAAACATCAGTACGAAATTAAGCAAGAAATAGAGGGTCGCGAACCGAAACGAGGCAAACTTACCATGAGCCAAACGTTGTCAAGGAGGGGGAACCGGCTAACAAAAGCCATGGTTTGACAAACGCTAGGCCTAATAGAACGGGAAATTAACGCCCGGGTTTACCGGGTGAAGGTATGCTAGGGTTTCTGGCTGAGTTAGGTTGGTGAGAACCTTACAATATAGCTTAGCCGCCAAGCGAGTCTGCCTGGCGGGGCGCGCTGCCCGCGGTCAAAAAAAAAAACCCCGGTCGGGCATGCATCCAGTCAGGGAGGCATCAACCCTAAACACAAGGAGGCATGGATTTAGGGTTGATGCCTCCCTCGGATGGCATGCCATCCGATGGCGTTTTAGTTTTTTTCTGCCCGTCGGTCAGGTCGACGGTGGTCGACGGCTGTCAACCACCGTCGGACCCCGTTTGGTTGAGACATTCCTTGGGAAAAAACCCAGACGGGCCAGAAAGGGTAGAGTTTATGGCCAAACGACTTTATCTAACCAAGGATTTTGCAAACACATCCAACCAATTGTCTGCCACTTTCACGGGCAACCTCGCAGAACACTCTGGCGGCACCCGAAACGCACGGCAAAAGAAATAGAAGTCGTAGTTACCAGAGAGAGTGCTACCTTGACAATTTCAATGCGGATATGATTCTCAGAATGGGAGAGAATGACATCATTAGAATCAGTTGGGGTATATATAACAAACTCTAATGTTTGTACTTCACATGATATGCCTCATTACTGTCTATCACATTTAACACACTTTCATATACTAAGTGAGAGGTGTCAGGAAATAACAAAGGTATAAGGTCACAAGAACAGCCACAATGAAACAAAGCTCAGGGTGGATCACAATGTCACCACACAGTCCGAGCACAAACAAGGGGCCACAAGGCCTGTCCAAGAGTTCACAAGTATACAGCAAAGCAATGTAAGAACACAAGACTACAGTAGACGAGAAATTGTATCAACGAGGCCTAACTGCACACAGAACTTGTGGTGGTCACAAGGCGAAAGGGCCTTGGTGAACATGTCTGCAGTGTTGACCTCGGAGGCCACGAAGTCCAAACGAGCCTGTCCGCGTCTCTGCAACTCTTGAAGGAGAACGTACCTAACGTCGATGTGCTTCACTCTGCTCCTCAGTCGAGGTTCTCGACACAAGAGAATCATTGCCTTGTTGTCAGTAAACAAGGTCGGTGCAAAGCTCGGCCGCTCACCAAGGTCACTGAGCAAGAAGGCCGACCAGCGCAGCTCCTGTGCAGCCATGGCTCCGGCGTGAATCTCGGCCTCAGCGTAAGAGGAGTCATAGTGACCGGTGAGTACGACTCGAAGTCTCCCTCCAAGCACAAGCCCCATCCCTGATGTCGTCGCTAGGTACTTCGCCACCCTCGCATCAGCTGTCCAGTGAACAGGACGGTATCTCCCAGTCGCAACAAAGTGAGCAATGATCCTAAGAGGGAAGGTGAGGTCGTGGTGACTACAAGTTATCAGGTACATGAGACAGGCCACCAGCTCTGCGTAAGGACCACAAACCCACTATCCCAGTGGTCCTTACGCAGAGCTGGTGGGCTGCCTTATGTACCTGATGACTTGTACTCGCCCGGACCTCGCCTTCCCTCTCAGCATCCTTGCTCACTTTGTTGCGACTGGAAGACACCGTCCTGTTCACTGGACAACTGCTGTGAGGGTGGCGAAGTACCTAGCGACGATATCAGGCATGGGGCTTGTGCTTGGAGGGAGACAGCGAGTCGTACTTACCAGTCACTGTGACTCCTCTTATGCTGACGACGTCAAGAGTCAGAGGTCCACGCAGCAATACTGTTTCAGCCCGGGCTCTGATACTATCTCAGAATGGGAAAGAATGATGTCATTAGAATCAGTGAGGGTACATACCCTAATGTTTGTACCCCGTATGACATGCCTCACCACTGTTTATCACATTTAACACTGCCACTCCATAGTGCATTATCATACTGGTGCTAGAGTCAGTTTCAGAGGAGCCCATCGCCATAAAGGTTCAAGAATAACACTAAATGCAAACAACGAATCATGATATACACCAACTTATCCTGAAGTATCTCAACTCGCAGAAAACACATGCTCATAATCATGTTTAGTGCACTGCACATGCTCCAGCTTTGGCATTCCATGTCATCATCACATGCCCGACCACTGCATTCACACGAGCGAATGGAGGGGGTGAACGTGGAAGAATATGGAGTCACAATGAGCTAGAAGAAAGGGTAATGGAGGGGAGGAGCCAGAGTAAAGAAGTACTACGGTACACACTGCACTGAACAAGGATGAAGACTTCAACAGTGGAATACAGGTAGCGCAAGTGGAGATGGTGTAAACAAAGAAGGGGAGAAGAGTAATACATAGCTAGATAACAAGCACATCAAACTCCGGAATTCAGACCGGAGCTCAGATTCCAGATGTGCCACACCAACTTGTGTAAGTTAGAATAATTCTGCCCGGATAAGATTTGTTGAAGGGAGATGCGCCGATTTGCTCCAAAAAGCCTTTGTTTGCTGCTCGCTATGAGGTGCATAGGCACGCCGTTTGCAGTTTCATTAGCTTTCGTTGGCTTCAACACAAGCTGTAGCATGCATATGCCCCTGATGAGCAGGCATGCATGAGCGCCTCGCAGTGCAGAGAAGAGCAGAGGAGAGCAGAGCATAGCGCTAGACAGGAGAAAGGATTTACCTGGTAGAATGAAGCAACGAGAACAAAGGACCAGACCAGACCAAAGAGAGCAACGGGTAGAAACAGAAGATACAATGGGGAAGAAAATCAAATGCTACCAAATTTCTGCTAAGTTAGTGGTTTGCTCAGTTGCCTGACATTGTGGTTCTTTGTCTCTGCTCTCTGCCCTCCTCCACGCGAGTGATCGTTGTACGCCCAAGCTTGCTCTTCTTCCTCCCCGTATCCTTGCTCTCTGAATGCAAACTCCTCCTCAGACCACCCCTGCACATACTGCTCATACTGTTGCTGCTGCTGCTGCTGTGGTTCCCTCCATTGGTCATCATAGCCTTCCCCAGGTCCCACCTGTCCCTCCAGCTGCGGTTCAAAGTCAAATTGCTCCAGGCCTTCCTGTTCCTCTGGTACCACAGGCTCATGATGCTGCTGAAGATAATGCTCATGCTCATGCTCATGATGCTGCTGATGCTGTTGTTGTTGATGTTGCTGCCGCTGCTGCCCATGCTGATGGTGGTGATGAGGATGCGGCCAATGCGCTTCCTGGTGTTGCTGACGCTGTTTCTTATGTGGTGGCTCAAAATGATGATGTCGTTGCTGTTGTTGCTGCTGCTGCTGCTGCTGCTTATATGGATAGTGCGGTTGCTGTGAGACGTGCTGCAACTGCTGCTGTGACTGCCGATGAGTCCCCTGCGCATGCTGATGCTGATGCTGCTGATGCTGCACATGCGAATGTTGGTGCGCCTGTTGAATCCGCTCCTGCTGCCGCTGCCGCTGCCGGTATGGCTCCTGCCTCACCCACTCCCCACTTCTCCCCCCTCCTCCCACCTCCAGCCCACCCCGCCACTGCTGCGCTCCCCCACCCCCACCCTCCCCCACCTTCCTCTGCACAACTGTAGAAATTTCGGGCGTCCTAGCATCATCCACCTCCTCTGCAGTGTCACTCTCAAGGGCAGGCTCGGCGGGCGACCAGGCATGGGAGGAAGGAGTGCGGCGCACGCCCTTGGCGATGACCGATGCAATGTGGTGCTCCACTCGCTTCAGCTCGCTGCTGCTCTCGCCCCGCGCCACCTCCACCGGGCTGGAGCGCGTGTGGAGGACGCCTGCACGCAGGCAAGCAAGCAAGGGGTGCAGCACGGGAGCAGGGAAGGTGGTGGGTAGTGGAAGTATGAGGCGCCTCAAAGATTGCGCGCCACCACCGCAGGGTTGGACTGTGAGTGGAGGACACCTGTATGCACATATGGGTGGCAGCACGGAAGCAGGGCGGGTAAGCAGTCAATCTTTGAGACGCCTCAAAATAGCGCGCATGAGGCGCCTCAGAGATTGCGCGCCACCACCACTGGGCTGGGCTTTGAGTGGAGGACACCTGCACGCATGCAATCGAAGGGGGTGCAGCAAAGAAGAAGGGTGGTGAAAAAGGACAACTAAGAAGGGGGACTCGGTTATGGTTAGAAAGAGAGGAAGGGGGGAAAGGGAGGGCAACCAGGCGGATGGGAAGGAAGGCTTGTTGAGATTTACGTGGATGGCTCCAGGTGAAGAGCGGGGCGGCAAAATGAGCGTGCAGTATAGCGTGTGCAGGCTATAAGCAAGCAAGCAAGCAAGTGAAAGCAAGCAAGCAAGCACCACCATCCATCATGATGGCAACGTGGGTTTCCACTTACTCGGTGGTTTGCGCCACAGCACCATGCCCATCCTCATAGCCGCCACCTGCTTGCGCATCTCAGCCGTCTCCTCACCACCCATGCCACTCATGTGCTGCTCCGCCCTACCCTTGTTGGGCACCCCTATTATCTCCATCACCATTCTATCTAAAGCCTCCTCATCCTCCTCCTCTTCTTCCTCCTTCTCCGCTTTCTCCTCCCTCTCCTCTTCTTCCTCCTTGTCTTTCTCCTTCACTTTCCGCTCCTCCTCCTCCTTTTTACTCTCCTCCCGCTGCTCCTTCCCTCCGTCCCCAGCCACTGCAATTTTTTCTGCCATCCGCCTTTCCACTCCCTCACCCTCAACCTTTGCCCTCTTCGTCATCCCCCCGGCACTTTCTTCCCTATCAACTCCCACCACTGCCCCTAACACCCGGTTGACTCCCCCACTCTCCCCCTTCACAACCATCCGCCCTGCTCCTTCTCCCACTCCCATTTCCACAACAGAAATCCCCCCCGACCCTCCTGATGCCCCACCAACAGCAGCCGCCGCCGCCACCACCGCCGCCGCCGCAGCAGCAGGGTGTGCCTCTGATTCATCTCCTAATACCTCCAGCCCAAGCTCCCCCGTAACTGCTGCCCCCACAGCTGCCACCACTTCCTCTCGCGGCCCTCCCATCAAATCTGAAGCAGAGGAAGCCACGGGGACAGGAGCCACAGCAGCTTCACTCCCCTCACTCTGTCTACCCTCATCCAGAGGACTTCTCAGCTGCCCTGTTTGTTCACTCCCCACGTTGCCCTCTGCTGCTGCACACTCACCACCAGAACGTTCCACCCTCACCCCCACTGCCTCCTCCTCTCCTCCTTCTCCACTCCCTCCGCCACCACCCATCACACCAACACCAGCTTCTTCCTCCCTTACTCCCACGCATACTGCCCCATCCCTTGCTCGTCCGCTCACCGGTGCAGCAACCCCTGGCTCGTTCCGGTTACACTCCACATGAGAACCATCCACCGCAGTGCTCCCCACACCCCCCGCATGCTCTGCAACCCCCAATATCTCGGCAGCCTCTCCACTCTCCATAGCCCCTGCGGCACCACCCATTGTAGCCTCCTCTGCCCACCCTGTAGCACCAGCAGCACCCACATCAGCAGCTCCCATCCGTCCCTCATCTGCATCCTCACGCTCCCCACCTCCCACACCCCCCTCACCCCTCGAACCTCCCACATCCATCACACCCCCCACACCCTCCTCACCCTCCTCACCTCCCTCACTGCCCCTACATTCCTCGACTCTTACAGAGGCTGCTACAGACCCCACAGCTGCTGCAGCAGCCACCTTTTGTGGCCCAATCTCCATCTCCTGGGGCGCCCACGAACCTGCTTCAACCTGCCCTGCATCCGCCATCTGCCCCGCTCCCCCAAGCCCCACTGCGCCGCCCACCACTCCCGCCATCAACGCTGCCGCCACTGTAGCCCCCTGTGCGCGATTCTCAAACGCAACACCCTGTTGAGAATCCTCAAAAGAAGCAACGCTCTGCCACAGCTCGCCTGCTGATGCCTCTACTGCTGCTGAAATGACTCCCCTAAAGGCTGGCAATCCGCCGTGAGTGAGTGCGGACAGTGAATCCATCACTTCAGGTTCCTGCTTCACTCCACGCACACCCACTCCTCCTGCTGCCGCCGCCGACACCGCCGAAACCGCCGCCGCTGCAGCTGCTGCAGCTGTTGACGCTCCTGATGCTGGACCTGCTGTTGTGGCTGACGCTGCTCCTGTCAGCACCACCCTGCTCCCAACATCCCGCATATGATCCTTCGTGTCTGCACCCATCGTCCACTCCCCCCCACCAGCAGCACCTCTCGGCCCACTCCGCCCCTTCTCCACGCCCCCTCCTCCCCAGTCCAAGCCCCCATCCACTCGCACCCTGCCAGCAGCAGCAGCAGTAGCAGAAGCAGCAGGATGAGGAGGAGGAGGAGAAGCAACCCCTCTTGCCCCTGCACCTCCCCTTGCTGACATACCACCTCGCCCTGCCCCTCTGCCCATGAACCTCAGGCGAGCAGGGCCCACATAGGAGCGAGTGATTCCCCCAAACCCATCGCTGCCGCCACTGCTGCTGCCCAGGCGAGCAGACATGTTGGCTGGCGCTGCCTTGGTCACAGTACAGACCTCTTCCCTCTTCGGCCCTACATTTGATGCTGCTTCTGCTCCTGCTCCTGTTCCTGCTCCTGCTCCTCCTCCTGCTGCTGCTGATACAGCCTCCTCATTCCTCTCCTGCTTCACGCCTTGTCCTCCATGCTCCTCCTCACCCGCTTTCCCAGTCAAACTAGCCCCAACCACGCCCACCCCTGCTCCACTCTCCTTCTCACCCATCAGTTCACACTTCACCTGCACCCCGCCCATCCCCACCTCCCTCTCTCCCTCTCCCATCATTGTTTCTGGCTCTCTCTTCCCTGGCTGCTGCTGCTGCTGCAACATGCGGCGGCGTTTGGCATGCATGATCTCGTCTGCAGAGAGGGGGCGGTTGTGCGATGCGGGCTTGCCGAATGCATGGGGCGGCGAGGCTATTGATACCATCACTGCGCGCTTGTCGCCTGAGAGGGGGAGTGAGGGAGGGGGGAGGAGGAGAGAGAGTTAGTTTGTGAGGCGCCTCTAAACAGGCTTGCCGGATGCATGGGGCGGCGAGGCTATTGATACCATCACTGCGTGCTTGTCGCCTGAGGGAGAGAAGGAGGGAGGGAGGGAGGGAGGGAGGGAGGGAGGGAGGGAGGGAGGGAGGGAGGGAGGGAGGGAGGGAGGGAGGGAGGGAGGGAGGGAGGGAGGGAGGGAGGGAGGGAGGCAGGGAGGGAGGGAGGGAGGGAGGGAGGGAGGGAGGGAGGGAGGCAGGGAGGGAGGGAGGGAGGGAGGGAGGGAGGGAGGGAGGGAGGGAGGAAGGGAGGGAGGGAGGGAGGGATAAACAGGGAGAAAGAGCGAGGGAGTGAGAGGAGTGAGAAAAGAGAGAGCAAAGAGTGCAAAAGGCAGGAGAAAAATGGCGAGCGGAAGGGAAATGAGAGAGTACGGAGAAGAGGCAGGGAAGGGGAGAGAGGAGGGCAGGGAGATGAGGAGATGGGGAGGAGAATTCTTGCCTGAGAGCAATCGCTGCTGCTCATCGTCGGCTGAGAGACGAAGGCCCTTTGACTGAGAGGCGTGCTTGGTTGGGGATGTCACAGAGGGTTGCTGGTGACACACATGGACACATACATACATTCACACACACGCACGCACGCACATGCACACATACATGCACGCACGCACACGCACACATGCACGCACGCACACACACACATGCACGCACGCACACACACACACACACACACACACACACACACACGTGTGCACACACACACACACGCACACACACACACACACACACACACACAGACGCAGATGCAAACACACATACATGAACTCGCGGTCATGGGATTACACGTGAGCGAAAGAGGAGTACGGTACACCAGTGAAGGGCAGGAGGGGGATAGCTGCATGCTACGGGAGCGATGGCAGAGGAGGGGGTGGGAAGAAGGGAGTCGAGAACAAGGGTGCAAGAAAAGCGATTCAACAGTACTGAGGTGGACTTTGGAGAAAGGCGGTGAAGGATGGTAGAGGGTGGTGGAAGGTGGTGGAGAGCATGGGTTGAATACCTGGGCGGCCATGGGAGAAGTGATCTCTCGGCGACGAGATAGAACCTTGCCTGGTAATGAACAGGGTGGGTGTGATAGGGTGTGGGTGGAGAAAGGTGGAAGGGGTGGGGAAGGGGAGGAAGGGAAGGACCAGTTGGGCAGGGTGTGAGAGCAGTGGCATGGAGGAAGAGAAGCACAGGAGAGGAGGGAGAGCATGACATGGTGGCATGGCAGCATGGGAGCAACGGACCCACTTGCAACCAGTTCCGTCCAACATTTCCCCACCCCCCACCCAACCCAACACCACCCTTTCCCCACCCCCCATCCCACCCAATTCCACCCTTTCCCCAGCCACCCCACCCCACAGCACCCCACTCGCCTATCTGCGCTCGTTTCGCCAGGTCTGCGAATCGCTTGCTGGCTGCAGCACCACGCATGCGGCGGTAGTGCGCTGCTGATGGCGGGGGCAGCACTGCACGGGCGAGCGCGCGCGCACACACACACACACACAGCACACACATACAGGGACGGGGGGTCGAGCATGGGACGGGCGGGGTAAGAGCGGGAGGGGATGGGGATGGGGAGAGCAGCGGGGAAAAGGTGGGGGGGAAGGGGAGGGGTTGTGAGGGAGGCGGGAAGGAGCAGACGGATTTTTACATTTGAATTTTTGCGAGAGAGAGACATCGGTGCAAAGGCGATGGAAGTGCAGTGCGCTGCTGGCCGGGGCAAGGGGGGGAGGGGGAGAAGGCGACACTGCCAGCAGCGGCGGGTGGGTGACCATCAAGAGACGTGTGATTGGGTAGGGTGGGCCCATCAGAAGCACATACATGCATGCATGCATCATTGGGGTATCCTTGAATCATCGTTCAGCCCTGGGCTGACTTGACTTGACTTGACACAGTGCCATGATCCATCCAATCCAATGCAACGCCTGATGTTTCAGTCGAGACTTGAATAAAAAACCCCCTTAACTTGAAATCAAATCTCCCACGTAAAACTCCTCCTCCCAGCGCTACTCCTCTCCTCTCCTGACGCGGCGGCGCCCCATGACTCACTCACCTCTCCCGCCCTTGTGCAGAGACGGCCTGGTGGCAGCAGAGAGCGGGGGCGACTGGGGCAGAGGGACGAGCGGCGGGGTGAGGATGGGTTGCCACGAGGAGAGCAGCACATGGGCCCCGTGGCTCACGCGTACTGATGGGGACGTGCAAGGGGGTTGGTGGGGCAGTGGAGGGGGGGCAAGTGGGGAGGATGGGGAGGGCGGTGGGGGGTGTATGGGGGTTGGGTTGGAGAGGTGAGACAGAGGGGGCAAGGGGAACAGGAAACTGAGTGAGGATGGAGCAGCGCATGGGCTCCGTGGCTCACCCGCACTGATGGGGGGCTGCAGTGGAAGGGGGGTGGGGGGGGAGGGGAAAGTGGGGAGGGTTGAGAGGGCAGTGGGGAGCATGGGTGTGTGGGTGGATTGGGGTGACGCAGGGGGGAAATGGGGAGCAGGAAAAGGAGAAGAAGAAAGGGGGAAAGAGGAACGGGGAACGGGGGAGGTTGAACGGGGAAGGGGGAAGGGGGAAAGGGGAAGAAGGGAGGGGGAAGGGGGAAGCGGGAGCGAGAAAAAGGAAGGGGAAGTGGTGGGAGCTCTGAACATCCAGCACTCAAGCAGCACAGCAGCTCTCACTCACTCAAACACTCACTCACTCACTCACTGCCATCCAGCACTCACAGCAGCCATTCTTTGAGAGTTCTGAATAGAAACGCATTCAGCCTTCACACACTCACTGCCATGCGTTCATTCATGGACTAAGTATGCCGTGACGTGCCGTGCTATCAAATGGCATACCAATGCGCGCAACGAGAGCGATTGAAATGAAAACCACGTCATCAGTGCTGTGCTGGGCCGTGCTGTGCTTACCATTCCAGTGCTATGTATGTGGTGTGACGTGTCGCAATAGGGTGTCGTGCAGTACGGTGCGGTGTTGTGCTGTGCTGGCCGGTGCGGTGCGGTGCCATGCCCACCTGAGGGGTTGTAGGAGCAAAGACCCTGCAGCAGCGGCTTGAGGGATGTGAGAACCGGCCGGTCAGACAGCGTCACTGGTATGGCTGCCAGTAACTGGGGCGGAGGGTAGGTGTGGGACATGCAGGGGGGAGTGAGAGAGAGAGAGAGAGGGAAGCAGAGAGACAGTGAGGTCGAAGTAAGTGGGAAGGAGAGAGAGAGGGGAGAAGATAGGAAGGGGAGGGTGGTAACAAGCAGGAGGAGACGAGAAAAACGGGTCACATAGTATGAACCCTGACGATGATGTTTTGCGTCCCCAAGAAGAGAGTCTGCTTCTGTGCAGTTAATCATGCAAGCACGCTACCACACGACATGCAACAAACACGCTGCAGCAGTACGCGCAGAAGCAACGACATGCACGAACGAAGCAGCAGCAGGAGGAGGAGGAGGAGGAGGAGAAGGTGGAAGAGGAAGCAGCGGCTGTTATGGGGCCCACCTGTATCAGCAGCAGCAGGATGGTGGTTTGGCTCTCCTCTGCCGCATGCCTGAGCCATGCTGCCAGCACTGGCGCCTTGCTCTCTACCTCCAGTAGCCTGCTCCGCACGGCACGGGATGCGTGGATGGACGCACATACATGTAGATGATCAAATATGCGGAAACAGGAACGTCGGTGTGTGAGTGTGTATGTGAGTGCGAAAGCGAGAGTGCCACGGCAATGAGAGAGGTATATGGCAACTTCGATACGAGCCACAAGCAAAGCTTAATGTCCTGGGGATGAAAAAACACCTCTTCCCCCACTAACTTGCAGTAAACTACCATGCTCACTTGCGCAGGCTCGAGACTGGCCGAACCAGCAGCAGCTGCAGCAGCGACGCCTGCTGTGCAGTGAAGCCTCCTGTGCTCTGGCGCAGGTGAGAGGCCAGTATAGACGCAACTTGGCACCCAGCCCGTGCAGATGCACTGCTGGGTGAGGCACCTGCTGCAGCAGCCGCTGCAGCTGCCGCAGCAGAAGCGGTTGGAGACGAGGAGGGCAAGAAATAGCCATGGGTTCCTGCTTTTATTCCTGCTCCTCCTCCTGCTGCTGCTGCTGCGCTCGCTTCCTCAGCCTCTGCCTCTCGTGCCGCTGCTGCCGCTTTCTCTTCCAGCCCCTCCCACCAAGGAGTCGAGGAGAGAGCAGAGCGAGACGAGGAGGAGGGGGTGTTGGCAGCCGGGCCAGCAGAGAAGGAAAGGGCGCGTTCAGCATCAGATAGAAGCACATCTAGATCAGTTTCTCTCGGCCTCTCTTCTACCTCCCCTGCTCGCTCCTCCTCCCCTCTCTTGCGTTCCCCTGGTGCTTCCTTATTCTGAGCAGACGCTGAGATCTCCTTTCCTCCCTGCATGGACGATCGCCGCTTTGCCACCAGAGCCGCACGCGTGCGTGGGGGGTGAGACGCGGGAGGGTGAGATGCAGGAAGGTGGGAGGCGACTGGGTGAGATGCAAAAGAGAGGGGTGCTGCTGGGAGTCTAGACGCTGCTGTTAGAGGGGTTGGGGGGGTTGCTGGGGATTTGTATGGCAGGGGGTTTGTCACCACCGGAGTTTTGGAAGCGAGATGAGGTTTCGACCCTGATACAGGGGGGTGAGGAGTGGTTGTGTGAGGCAAGGGGGAGGAGAGCGGGTGTGGTGCAGACAGTTTGCTAGAGGCTGCTGCACTGATTGCAATGCCACCATTGGCGCCAGCGCTGGTGACCGAAAGTGCGGTTTGACCAGGTGTTTGGGAGAGGGGAAGAGAGGCAGCAGTGGGTTTGGGAGCAAGGTGCTTGGGTGTGTCTGGGGATAAGGACAGGCAGAGAGATGCTGATTGTGAGACAGGGAGATGAGCCGCTACTAGGCAGGCACTGTTGTTGGTGGTGGTGTTACTGTTGGTGGCTGTGGTGGTTGGTCTGTGCTGCGGTGCAGGACACGTGGTGGGTAATGACTGGAGCAGGGAGCGTATATGGGAGCGGAAGGATCCAAAAACCTCCCGAACCTGACGTTGTGTTGGGGCCAAGCGGAGAGGGGGGGATGAGGGGGGCAGAGAAGAGGGGAGATGAGAGGCGAGAGAGACGAGGAAGTGCGAGTAGGGAGGCAAGAGGAGACGAAACATGCGGATTCAAAAGGGTTAACAAGGAGAAGAAATGGAAGCAACGGGGAAAGGGAGAAGCGGGTAAGCGGAACAAAACAAAAGAAATAACAAAAACAAAAAAAAAAGGAGGGGTTGGGGGGGAGGGGGAGGGAGGAGTGGGGGTTGGGTAAAAAAGGAGAAGGCCGAGGAGAAGACAAAACAAGGAGGAGGCAGAGGGGTAACTCAAAACCAGAACCCACATGAGAGGAGGAGGTGGCAGCAGCAGTGGCAATAGCGCGGGCCTCTTTCTTAGTGATGGTGTCCTTTAGCGAGAAGAAGAGCGCCAGGTGCTGCTGCAACGCTGCCTCTGAATCTGTGCCGTGCTCGTGTGGTCATGCACGAGTGAGGGATGGGGGAGAGGAGAGAGGGGAGGGGGGAGGGGGGAGGAGATAAAGAGGGGGGGTACAAACAACAGAATGAGGAGAGGGGAAAGAGAGAAAGCGGTAGAGGGGAATGGTTGGCGGAAGATGTGAGATTGAGGAGGAATGGCGGAGAAAGGTGAGCAGATTTGAAGCGGCTTAAGAGTCAGACGGATGGTGGGTATGATGAATGAAGGTGAAAAGCAGTTGGAATGTCAACGTTTAAGAGGGGATTCGTGCGAGGATGGTGGGGAACTGGTGGAAGAATGGTGGGAACTGGTGTGTGTGTGATACTGGAATGAAAATGGTGTGAGAATCGTGTGAGGGAGGTTGGAACAGCGTGGAGTGCAGTGCAGTGCCAGGGAATGACGGTACGGTATGGTACAGTACGGTACCTGCGTCTGGGTGCAGTAACATGGACGCCTGCAGGGAGGCCAGGGCGAAGCAACAACACGAGATAGAGAGGGTAAGAACGGGGTGTAATCATGGGTGAGGAGGGAACAGGGGAGAGAAAAGGGGAGCAGGAAACAGGAGAGGCTGTGAGCAGAGCGGGGGGAGAGGAAGAGGAGAGCCTGAGAAAGAGTTGAAAAAGATGGAGATCAATGAAGAAGAAGAGAGCGGGTGCATTACTCAAAGCATGGGAAAATCCCAGCGCCGAAAAGGCAGGTGGAGAGCAGGGAGCAGGGCGCAGGGTTCAAGGAACAGGGAGCAGCGAGCAGAGAGCAGCGAGAGCAGAGGACAAGCACAAAGCACCCACCATTGCCTCCTCTAGAGGGTTCTCCCAAGTGGCTTCAGTGCCCTCCTCCCCCAGCTCCTCCAGCAGCTGCATCTGCCCCGGGAGCAGCAGGTGCTGCTGCATGTACATGTGACTCGGCACCTGCCCCACATCCTCCACCCCTCCTCCTCCCTGTCCCCCCAACTGTCCCCCTCCTCCATCTCCTCCTCTCCCCCCTACTCCTCCTCCCCCTCCTCCTGCTCCGCCTCCTACTCCTTCTCCGCCCCCTCCTCCTTCTCCTCTACTCCTTATTCCTCCTGCTCCTGCGCTTGTCTTCCCAATCCTCCGCTCCCACTCGCTCTCCCAGTCCGTGGGTCGTTTGAACCGTGGTCGCTGGGTGATCTCCTGTAGCCGCTGCTGCTCCTCCTCCTCCGCCTGCTGCTGCTGCTGAAGCGCCTGCTGCTGCTGCTTCTGCTGCACGTGCAGCAGCCGCACCTGCTGCTGGATCTGCTTCTGCTGCTCCCTCCACTCCACGGAGCATTGCTGCACCAGCCGTTGCTGCTCCAGAACCACCTGCTGAAGAGTCACCACCTGCTCAGATAGCACCTCCCCTTGGGTTGATATGAGTGAGACCAGCTTACTCACAGGCCACAGGTGTTCACCTGCTGCTGCTTCTCCTCCTGCTTTTGCTCTAGCTGCTGATTTGGACAGCGCTGGACCTTCATCTTCCTCTCTGCCTGCCCTAGAAGCACTTCTGTTTAACCCCAGGTTTGACCCGCTCTTCCCACCTCTTCCTTCCTCCTCTGCCTCCTCCTCCTCGTCTTCTTCCTCGTCGTCATCATCTTCCTCTTCCTTTTCTTCTTCCGCCTCTCCTTTCTCCTCTTGTTTCTTGGCCTCGCCTGCCACCTTTTCCTTCTCAGCTGCCTCCCTCGCACTATCCTCTTCTTCTCTCCCCGTCCTCCCTATCTCTCGTTCGGCCTCTTCCAATCTCCCTGTTTCTCCTTCCTGCCCCTGCTTCCCACCATCGCCCTCCGATCTTGCTCCAGCTTCCACCTGCAGCTCTCTCTCCCCTGCCTCCTCACGCACACCAGCATCGCCTCCTCGTTCCTCCTCCTCCTTCTCCTCCTCCACCTCCTCCTCCACCGCCTTCTCCTCCGCCTTCTCCTCCTTCCCCTCTCCGCCAGTCACCACTTCTCCCTGCTCCTTCCTTACACCCCCCTCCTTCTCCTTCTCCTCCTCTCTCCCTCCAACCCTCACCTCCTCTCGCTGCTCCTGTCCTTCAACCTTGGTCTCACTCCCATCATTCACCTCACTCCCACCATTCACCGCACCTCCACCTTCCATCTCATCCATATTCCTCATACCACGCTCACTCGTACCTCCATCCGCGGCCTCAATCGCCTCCCCATCTCTCATCTCCCTCCTTTCGCCACACTCACCCTCAATCATGACGTCACCAGCGGTTTTGTCATCAATCATGACGTCACCAGCGGTTTTGTCATCAATCATGACGTCACCAGCGGTTTTGTCATCAATCATGACGTCACCAGCGGTTTTGACGTCACCCATGACGTCACCAACGGTCTTGTCATCTCCCGTGACGTCATCAGCGGCTTTGCCATCTCCCATGACGTCATCAGCGATTCCAATGTGTTGACTATTCACCGTAGCTTCACCACCTTCCCCCACTCTCGCCCCTCCTCCTAACTCGTCACACCCCACCACATCCACCTCCTCTTCCTCCTCATCCTCCTCCACCTCCCCCCCTTTCTTCCTTCCCTCCTCACCCTTCTCGTCCCTTTTCTCCTTCCTCTCCTCCTCCTCCTCACCACCAGCGCTCCCCATCTCCCCACCAACGTCCTCCTTCTCTCCCAAACCATGCCCACTCACGTCAACATTATTCTTCACCGCCCCCGTCTCTTCAGTACCGTTCTCAACCCTTTTACTAGCCTCCGCACCGTAATGGCAAGCATCGACCCCGTTATGAACCTCAATTCTAGGGTTAACAGCATCGCTTCTCCCACTGCCATCGCCGCTCTCCCTCTCAACTCCTGCGCCTGCCTCTTCATTCGTCTGTCCCATCGCCCCTTGAGGCGCCTCAACAATAGCCCCCTCAGCTGATGCACCTGCCCCTTCACCCACGTCTCCTCCCATCCTTCCTGCCGGCAAGTACTGTGCCCCCATAGTGTCGGTTGCTGTGCTATCTGCAACCACTCCTTCTGTGACCATTCCGTCTGTAACCACTCCGTCTGTAACCATTCCGTCGGTAGCCGCTCTGTCTGTAACCACTCCTTCTGTAACCACTCCGTCTGCAACCACTCCGTCTGTAACCACTCCGTCTGTAACCACTCCGTCTGTAACCACTCCTTCTGTAACCACTCCTTCTGTAACCACTCCGTCTGTGACCACTCCTTCTGTAACCACTCCTTCTGTAACCACTCCGTCTGTAACCACTCCTTCTGTAACCACTCCGTCTGTAGCCGCTCCGGCTGTATCTACTCCATCTGTAGCCAATCTGTCACCCACTGCGACTGTGACTGTTCCATCTGTCGTTGTTCCCTCAGCAACATTTCCGTCTGTAGCAATCGCGTGTATCATCATTCCCTCAGCACCACTTCCGTCTGTAGCTATTCCGGCTGTAGCCACGCCGTCTCCCATTCCGTTTGTCGCTACCGTGGCCACCGCATCCAATACCTCACTACCGATTTCATCTCCATCCATGCGCCCAGTCCCCATAGCATGCGAAACAAGCTCGTCTCTACTCATTACGTCTGCACTTAAGCCCGCAGCAGCCATGACGTCCGCAAGCGATCCGTCGAAAGCCATGCACTCAGCAGCAGCAGCCGCGTAATCATCCCGCCACATCTCGTCGTCGCTCATCGCGTTAATCGCAGTCAGCGGGTTCATCGCGACTGCGTCCGGCTCCGCGGCCGCGCAAAGGTACTCCGCTAAATCTCCGCCGATTCCCCCCTCCGCCACCTCGTCTGCGCCGATCCCTGCGCCTGTCTCGCGGACGTGAGTCTTCGCCCCTAAGTCTTCCGCCAACGCGACGGCTTCGTGTCCGCCCTCAACGCACAGCCCTTCCCCGCAAGGCTCATCTGCAGCCAGCGTTTCGTGTCCCCCCCACAACTGCGCACCATCCGCCATGGCGTAAAACGTTGCAACGAGAAACTACCACCGCCAATGCACGGAGAGACGCACGCAGCACACGACTGACACGGGGCGACGCGCAAGCCTTCGCATCACGGACGGTGCGGGAAAGTGAGCCAGTCAGTAAGCTAGCCACGGCGGCACAGCATGGCAGGATCTAGGAGAAAGAAAGTTGTGTTTGATTTTCGAAAAGAGGTACTGAGAGCCTGTCAGTAAGCTAGCCACTTGCTGCGATCACACCCACACCAACCTGATGTTTGGTGTGGTGGTTGTGCAAGGTGGAGAGATAAAATGGAAACGCCGAGGGAAAATAGAGACTGACAACAGAATTTACCCTCTACGAAAACCAGAATATCGGGGACCAGTAAGTGGCTGGCTGGCAAACTGTTAGAGGGGTGTTTACTGTTCATTCCGAACAGTACATTCCTAGTCACCATTATCCTTATCTTCTCAGATTCTCTATGCCACGTGGCACTCTACTTTTCTTGCACTCCAATTCTTGGTCCCACATTCCACTTTCCAACCTTGTTTCTTGCATGCTATATAAACCTTGCTTGTACTTGCCATTATCAATCAATTCTCATTCAACTCTTCTTCAATTACTTAGTAACTTCTTCGCCTATTTCGCCAATAGTTCTTTCGCCAAAGTCTTCCGCCGCGTTTCATCCTCGACTTAGTCGACCCCGCTAATTCTTTAGCGGACTTAGGCCGTCGGGCCCAACACTTGGTATCAGAGCCTTCGCGGGGAGCGACTTCCAACGAGCGACCGTCGACGACGAGACTACGACGTCATCGTCCCGCGGTGCCGACTTGCAGACTTCGAGTCGTTGAGCGAACATGGACGAAACTATGCACGCAGTCCCCCACGACATGGGCAACGCGCTTGCCGAACTCATGCGCCAACTTCAAGAGTTGACGCTGGAAAATCGACAGGTACGAGCTGAAATGCAACAGCTTCGTGAATTGGCTTCTAACCCCCATGGTCATGCCACACCAACTCTTGCGCCCAACACGTCGACTGGCGCGGAACCGCTGCCGGAACGTCGAAGCGCACTCAAGCCGCAGAAAACCGAGTCGTTCGACCCAAGTCAACGCGACGCGAACGTGCGGACGTGGCTCTTCATGCTGAACAACTACTTCGCTGCGATCGGGGTGCAAGAGGCGGACGCGCAGCACCGGATCGAGTACGCTGTTACACTGCTGAGGGGCCCGGCCTTGGAGTGGTGGCGCCAACTCACTCAAACTGCTGTAAGAAGGGCTCAGACGGACGGGCATCAACAGGACGTGGGGCATGCAACTGCAACTTCGAGCTTAGGGAGTTTAGCTTTGGGTGCTACCACGGTTCTGACCACATGGGAAGGATTTGAAGCGGCGCTGAAAAGTAGGTTCGATTTGGTGAACGCCTCCGAAGCTGCTAGAAAGCGTCTGCGTCATTTCCGACAGATAGGCAACGTCCAGGTGTACACACTACGGTTCTTGAGCATCTGCAACGAGATAGACGATATCACGGAAGCAGAGATGCGCGATCGCTACCTCGAAGAGTTGAAGCCGGACATAGTGGAAGTCATTGCGATTCACGGGTTGTCCACCTTCGAGTCGGTAGTCGCAGCAGCAGAACGCGTCGACGCAGTACGAAGCCGACGGGGTCGTGACGATCGCGATAGGGGATACAACAGACCGATCAACGACGCTCGATCGAGGGACAGACCATCGCGCATGGAGATTGGTACAGTTAACAGTGACGGCTCACAGAAAATGGGATTTAGGGGGAACTGTCACTACTGCAAAAAGCCGGGACACATGAAGCGAGACTGCCCACAGCTTAAGGAGCGGCAGCAGGGAAACGGAAACCGCCAGTAGATAGCGGGTCGCTAGCTGGTGTGGAGGTTCCCGTACCCGCCACGTCTACCAACGTAGAGGAGACGGCTTTGCAGCAGTCATCTACGGAGAACTCGGTAGACACTGTTGATCGTCCAGTCGTGCTTCTAGGGAAGCTTCGCGGTGTTCCAGTCAAAATTCTCGTAGACAGCGGAGCTAGCCACTCGTTCGTCTCTTCTTCATTAGTTAGTCGTCTCCATCTCGAAGCAGATTCGGCAGTCAACTTCAAGGACGCTCGCATGGTAGATGGGACGCCACTTCACATAGGTCCGATCATCCGCAAGTTGCGCGTAGTGCTAGGACCGATCACAGTCAGGCGTGATTTCGACTCTGCGACGCTGGACGGATACGATTTTATCTTCGGGAGAGATTGGCTACGGACGGTTAGTACTCAGTTCGATTAGGCTCAGGAAAGCTGCAGCGTCAAGGTAGACGGGGAGTTCCGGGAGCTGCCACAGTGGAGCGATGGGGCCACATCATCCACAGCTATCATTAATGCTGTTCGTGTGCGACAGTTAGTGGAGCGTGCGGCACGGATCTTCGCGGTTTTTCTTGAGGAGGTGGAAGCTGAGGAGGGGAAAGGAGGGAGTGCAGCAGTTAGTGAGAAGCCGACTCTTCCTGCTGAGGTGAGTGCACTGTTAGCAGAGTTCGCAGACGTCTTCCCCGACGAGTTGCCCCCAGGGTTGCCTCCCAGCCGAGCAGTAGACCATCGAATAGAATTGGAGCCGGGGAGCAGGCCAGTAGCGAAGCCGCAGTGGAGGTTGAGTCCAACGGAGACAGAGGAGATGACGCAGCAAGTTAGGCACTTTCTCGCACAGGGTTTCATACAGCCATCTAGATCGCCTTGGGCCGCACCGATACTTTTCGCACCCAAAAAAGACGGAGGGTTGCGGATGTGCATAGATTACCGCGCACTGAACGCCGCCACCGTCAAGAATAGATTCCCGGTGCCGAGAGTAGAGGATCTTCTCGATGCAGTGCAGGGCGCTAGAGTCTTCTCAAAGATCGACCTTCGTTCGGGTTACCACCAGATTCGAGTAGTTCCAGAGGACCAGCACAAGACGGCGTTTCGTACGAAGCAGGGGTTGTACGAGTTTAGAGTTCTACCGTTCGGATTGACCAACGCCCCAGCGACGTTTCAGACGCTCATGAACACAGTCCTCTCCGAGTTCCTAGGGTCGTTCGTTGTCGTTTACCTAGACGATATCCTAGTGTTCTCTAAGACGAAAGATGAGCACGTACAGCACTTGCAGAAGGTCTTCGAGGTCTTACGGAGGGAGCAGTTATACGCTAAGCAGTCGAAGTGCGAGTTCTTCCTTCCAGAGGTCGAGTTCCTAGGACACGTCGTATCCGCTAGTGGCATTAGGACTGACCCGAAGAAGATTGCAGCAGTACAGGATTGGGTAGCACCGACCTCAGTCAAGGAGTTGCAGAGCTTCCTCGGTTTCGCGAACTACTACCGTCGTTTCGTTCAGGGTTACGCATCGATCACTAGTCCACTCACCGACCTACTTCGGAAGGGCATAGAGTATGTTTGGGGTCCAGCGTAGCAGCAGGCGTTCGAGCAGATGAAGCAGTCTCTCACGTCCTCACCGACACTGTCGTACCCTGATCCCACTCGCCCATACGTTGTAGTGACCGACGCTTCCGATCAGGCCATAGGAGCAGTGCTTCTTCAGGACCAGGGACGCGGGTTGCAGCCGATCGCGTACGAGTCGCGTAAGTTTAGGGGAGCGGAGTTGAACTATCTCATACACGACAAGGAGGCGCTCGCGATCATCCATGCGTATAAGGTGTGGAGGTGCTACTTGGAGGGGGCAGATAGTGTTATACGCACGGACCACTGTTCGCTTCGTTTCCTCAAGTCGCAGCCGCAGCTGAGTCGTCGCCAGGCTAGGTGGATGGAGTTCATGGAAGGGAGCTTTCACTACAGGATAGAGTACAAGCCAGGCGTGCGCAACCCAGCAGATCCGCTCACTCGCCCTAGTTGTCAGCTCGCCAGTCTCACAGTCACTGCTGGCCACCCACTTCTCACAGCACTCTTCGAGCACGGTTACACAGTAGATCCCGACTTCACACCGCAGCCGCCCGCAGGAGCAGAGGTGCAGGGTAGTGTCTACATACGGAAGGGTACCACACGGATTTGGGTTCCAGCTTACCGCCCTCTTCGACAGCTCCTTCTCTCAGAGGCGCACGACGTAGTTAGTGCAGGGCACTTCGGAGCAGATAAGACGGCTAAGACGCTTAGTCGCACGTACTACTGGCCCGGGCTTGCAGCAGACGTAGAGGATTACATTCGCTCGTGCGACACGTGTCAGCGTACGAAGTCCTCTCGCCAGCGCAAAGCAGGACTCTTGCAGCCGATTCCACCGCCCGACCGCCCTTGGCAGGTAGTTACCATGGACTTCATCATGGCTTTACTACGCACAGTTAGGGGTCACGACGCCATCTTCGTAGTAGTGGATAAGTTTTCTCGAGCAGCGCATTTCATCCCCACGCACGGCAAGATCACAGCAGAGGAAGCCGCGACGCTGTTCGTAGATAACGTAGTCCGACTGCACGGGGTTCCAGATTCCATCATCTCAGACCGCGACTCTCGTTTCACTTCGAAGTTCTGGAAGCAGCTTTTCGCACTGTTTGGGACTCGCTTAGCCATGTCGTCTGCGTACCACTCAGAGACAGACGGACAGACCGAGCGTGTGAACCAGACCTTAGAGCAGATCCTTCGCAGCATCACGATGCACGACGCAGCCGCATGGGACAAGAAGCTGAGCATGGCAGAGTTCGCCTACAACAACACGCACCACTCCGCCACAGGCATGTCACCGTTCTTTGCACTTTACGGTCAGCACCCCAATGTCCCCACTCGTGTCGATCTCACACCCACAGTCCCTCGTGCGGACAACTTCCACCAGCATCTCACCTTCATTCATGATCACGTGAGGAAGCACCTTGAGCTCGCAAATGCACGCATGGCACGCACCACCAACCGCAGTCGTCGTGAGGTGTCGTTCGCAGTCGGCGACCGTGTTCTCTTGGATAGCCGCAACCTCCGACTGCCACAGGACAGCAAGCTTCGTCCACGTTTCATTGGTCCATTCGTCATTGAGCGCGCACTAGGTCCAGTCGCATACCGCCTTGGCCTTCCCGCACATTTCCGCATGCACCCGTCATTCCACGTGTCTCTCCTTCGCCCATACACCGATCCCAATGCCACCTTCTCGGGCCGTGATCGCACTCCACTGCCGGTACCGTCAGCCCCCGGATAGAAGCGCCCCTGGGGTTATAAAAAAACACGTTTTTTTAGGGGGTGGGCTTATAATCGAGGATTTTTATAAGCGCCGGGGCTTATATAATAGCATATATAAAAAATTTCGTTTGTACACCAAACTGTAGATCCCGTTCTCGCGAGTTGAATCGAGTCAAAACTATACAGGGTTGCGATTGAGAATCTCGCTTGCAAGTTGGCAGGGATTGATTCCCTGCCAACACACACTGTCAGAATGAGTCAACGTGCACCCCTGACAGCTCATTCTGACTGGACGCGCTGGCAGTGAACCGAGCGAGGGTGACGGGCATCGAAATTCAAAATGTGGGAATGGAGATGTTGAGTTTCGTTACGATGAATTCAGTAAAATTATAGTTAGAAAAAAAAGGGTGGCGCTTATAATCCGTAAGCCTTCAGGGGTGCGCTTATAATCGAGGACCGGATATAAGCGCCCTCATCCTTTTATAAGCGCCGGCGCTTATCCGAGGCCTGCGCTTCTATCCGGGGGCTTACGGTAGCTGTTGACACCGACGAGCCCAACTACCAGATCCAGCGCATCCTCAGGCACCGTCGCCGTCTCCAGGGGGGTGTCACTTTCATCGACTTCTTGGTTCGTTGGCGTGGTTACGACGCAGCAGACGACACCTGGGTTCCTTCGTCCTCGCTGTCTCCTGACAACGCTTGCCTCCAAGCGTACCTTCAGTCTGCAGGCGCCGCGGACGTCGCCTCCTTGGGCGGGGGGTAGTGTTAGAGGGGTGTTTACTGTTCATTCCGAACAGTACATTCCTAGTCACCATTATCCTTATCTTCTCAGATTCTCTAGTGCCACGTGGCACTCTACTTTTCTTGCACTCCAATTCTTGGTCCCACATTCCACTTTCCAACCTTGTTTCTTGCATGCTATATAAACCTTGCTTGTACTTGCCATTATCAATCAATTCTCATTCAACTCTTCTTCAATTACTTAGTAACTTCTTCGCCTATTTCGCCAATAGTTCTTTCGCCAAAGTCTTCCGCCGCGTTTCATCCTCGACTTAGTCGACCCCGCTAATTCTTTAGCGGACTTAGGCCGTCGGGCCTAACACAAACCCAGTGTACAGTAAATACGGAAGACGCGGATCAGTATATCAGTTTTGTCACATAACACATTCATCAAGATACGCCTGTTGTAAGGCCTCATCTTATCTATCAACAGACATAATCACTCAAACCATATATAGCAGCACCAACGGGGGGGAAGATGTAGTGGAAGTTGTACACTATGGATATGATGCAACCTCCTGTTTTGTTCATCCCACCTCTTTCCCTCTCACTTTCTTCTCCTATACGAGTGTAGGAAGAGCAATGTAATTTGGAAATCCCAGTCCAGCGTTTCCAATCCAAGGCGTGTCTCCAACCCAAGATGTGCTTCCACTAATACATCGCTGACTCTTCCTACGTAACCTATCCTACCAGTAGTTATAACAGACCTGTACTATCAAACACAACTGTACAGAAACTTTCTACCCTAATCAGGCGTTAGGCCCACCTAACAGCTCCAGCCGTAGCTCCAACTAAGCCAGCAACAGCTCCTGATGCACCAGTAGAGTCCCTGTCAGTACTGCTATTGTCTGTCACACCAGCGGCATGACTCCTCCTGGGTTTCCCTGTGCCCACAGGAGCAATGTTGAGTGCGCCGAGCGAGTATCCCTTGTACTCTGACTGTCGGACCACCAAGTCCTGCTGCCTCTGGCGTTGGCGCTGCTGCTTGCGAGAAAGAGACGCAGTAGCAGCGGAATTAGTAGAAGCAGCATGAGCAGCAGCCGGCCTCCCCAAAACAAAAGACAAAGCCCTGCTCACCACAACGCTTCCCCAGTTACCACGCTGCACCTTCACACTCACTCCCTGCCCTCCATCCCCATCATCACCTCCCCAACCCCCTCCCCCTCCACCTCCTTCGCCCCACTTCTTCCCTCCTCCGCCGCCACCACCTCCTCTCCCTGGTGTATTGCCCTTGTTCCTGAACCAGAGCGCGAGATTGAGTGCTGTGGCAAAGGCCACCCAGAGGACGTAGGGCAGGAAGAGAGATGATGCCAGCGGGCTGACTGTGGCAAAGGAGAGGAGCGTGAGGCACGCCAGGAGGAGGAGCAGCGCTGCTTTGGGGGAAGGAGGAAGCGGAGGGAATCGCAGACGGAGGAAAAAAGAGGTGCAGAGAGGAGAGAGGTAAGGGAGATGAAAGTGGGTATGGATTAAATGTTTTGTGGATCCGGATACGTGCAGCTGGCGATGGTGCGGACGAATCAGGGGCGCACAAGGGATGTTAATTGCAGAGTCAACAATATAATAAAACAGATTTGCCTGGAAGACGTCTAATAGACAGTCAGTTCGAGAAGGTTCGAGCAAACGCAGTTCCGCTCAGGGCAAAGGCCTGGGGGGAAGAGAGGAGAAACGAGCGGGAAAAAGGAGGAAACGCCTGAAGTCGAAAAGGCATGCTTACCTATGACTCCCAACGCGGCACCGATCCTGTGCATCTTAAAGAACACGACAGGCCACGCCAGATTCACCAGTAGCTGCGTGCCATAAAGCAGCAACGGTCCTCTCTGAGCCGCCCATCCGCCCTCGCGCCACACGAGGAACGACGCGACGCCCATGATTGGATACAGCAGCGACCATGTGGCGCCGAAGAGCCAATCGGGGGGCTGGAACCACGGCCGCTGTAGCCCCGCGTACCACTCCTGCAGCGGGCTCGCTGCTAGCGCAACGATGGAGCCGCTTATAAGGGGGACGGCGACGGCGAGCGCAAGCGGGAGGAGCGTGTGCGTGTTGGCGAGAATCGCGAAGAGGGATTCTGGAGGCGGCGATGGCGGCGGAACCGGTGGTGGGTTGTACGGGAATTTTCCTTTGTACTGAGAGCACTCAATCGTGAGCCGCCTGACGGAGATATGCCGAGGCAAGGAGGGCGACGCGCGACGCAGAGACGGCAAGGAGCGCCAAGAAGTAGTAGGGACACTGCTCCTTGCGGCTGGAGTTCCCGATAAAGGAAGCAGGCGAGTGCTGCACAGAGCAGCACTCGCGCTGCTAGACGCGAGGAGTATTTGGGACGCCATCATCGGCACAAGAGTCGTCGAGCCTTGTTCGCAACAAGAGGACAGGGAGTTGAGAGGAATGAACACACGAATCTGAGTGCGAAGGACTAATCAAATCCCAATACGAAAGGAAATGCACAACTGAGATAATTAATCGTTCCATGATTAGTCGTGGCTATACTGAGGAACAGCCGCAGCGTCACCATCTAGTGAGGAGGGAAAGCGTGCAAGGAGAAGACTCGTCGAGATATCCCTGCGCGGATTGCATGTGAGCTGGCAGGGAGCTGGCATGGGATACATGTGTGCGGAAGGCATTGTGGACATGGCGGGGCGATGAGTCATGACGACCCACGCGTACGACGTGGAGACGTGGTTGATCATGCACGGAAAGGAAGGGAACGGTGGGGATTTAGGGAACGGAGACGCTGTGCACTCAACAATCACGGACGGCTCGGATGTAGGTGTACACCGACTGCGGGGTGATGCGGTTTATCTCTAGACTTTCGAAGGGCAATTCGAATGTCGGAGGAGCCGTTGAAGAAATCGATGAAGGGAACACAACGAACGAGCGGGTCACTTGTCTCGAATGACCTCCCTCGAGAGCTCCGCATAACGTCAAGAACTGTACTACCCACTCCCGTAAAGATATAAGTTTTATCCCGATTATAAATACACCAACCATTCCCCATAATAGACCCTCAATACATCTTGCAGAAATGTTAGTAGTCTTGCTCAATACCCGAAAAGGTCGGCTCGTCAGCAAACCAGCCAGGTCTCACTATTTGTTAAGCGGTAACAAACGCTGACAAAAAGCAACATTCAGCTGCATTTTAGCGGTTCATACACAACCTAGCCTAGAAATTGTCCCCTTCTCTGCCCCCTCTCCCTCCAAACCCACCTCGCCCCCTTCCAAAACCCCCTCCTCTCCCCCCACCAAACCCTCGCCCTCTACCTCTCCCACCTCGGCCTCCCCTAAACCCTCCCCTCCCTCCGCCTCGTCCCCCCCACCCCTTGTTCACCCCGCCCTGCGCCTTGAGCTTCTCTTTCAGCATGTGCTGCTTGCGCCGCCGCTTCTCCTCCTTCTTGTCCTTGCGCGCATTCTGCTGCTGCCGCCGCTTCTCCATCTGATCCGCTGTTGCCTCCTTAGCCTTGGCCGCATCGAAATACACTGCACTTTCCTGGGACCCACTCACCCGCCTCTTCTTCCCCTTCTTACTCACTTTAGTCTCTCCCTCCTCACCTTCCTCCCCCTCTTCATCCTCCTCCATCTCCTCCTCCTCATCCTCTCCTGATTCTGCCTCCTCAGCCTCCTCCCCTTCTTCCTCCACTTCTCCCGCCTCCTCTTCCCCTGACTCCTCATCTCCTCCACCCGCCTTATCCTCGTCCTTGTCCTTCTCGTCTTTCTTCTTGTTGCTGATCTTCTTGATCTGAATGGTCATGGACAACACACACATTTGAGCAGAACGAATGGAGTTAGAAATAGAAGAGGCATGAAGATGATCGGGATATCTACGATTCGAGCACCGACTGATTAATATGTAGAGGAATCTAGTACGGGTAAACGCGGCAGTGATATGAGGCCATGCGATATGGCTGTGTGTGTCAGGTGGGAGACAGGTCTGCAGCCATCAGAGTAACTATGACATGATTAGGCCGGCATGAGAGGCAGCAAGTGCCTCTTTTAGCCAAAAGGGTGGCATCACGTGGCTGACAGACACACAAGAATGAATGGTGAGAGGGAAACGTCACACAAGGCAGGTGTTCTTTTCACACACAAGCTCTTTTCCAACACTAACATGGAACAATGCGCCTCATATGCAACAAGGGAGAGGAAAGCGGCGAGGATAAAATAGAGGGGAACAGGATGATTAAGCAAGAGTGCATGGGGAAGCGTGACAAACCAGGGAGCCCAGATGTTTATTGAGCGCACACACGCAAGAGCAACTGTGACACAAATGGACTGACGGACACTGCAATGAGTTGCCGTGAGGTACAGACAGCCATCAGAGTAACTATGACATGAGTACGGCCAGCATTAGAAGCAGCAAGAGTGCCTCTTTTGGCCAAAAGATTGGCATCACGTGGCTGACACACAAGACTCAATACCACAAGCACACACACTAAACCCCCACTTCCTCCATCCTCTCAACCTCTCCCCCCCTCCCAAGCAGCAGCGGGGCACACCTTAGCAACAAAGAAGCCATCCAGGTTGTGCACGTGTGGGTAGAAGCGCCGTGTGTGTGACAGCGACGGGTGGAACCGATGCTCCCTGTACTTGCTGAACCTGCAGGGGAGCAGGGGGCGGACGGCGAGAGAGGGAAGGAAGAGAAGGTAAGGAGTTCGGAAGGAAAGAGGGCGTGGCGGGTGTGTGACGGCGACGGGTGGAACCGATGCTCAATGAACTTGCTGAAGCTGCAGAGGGGCAGGGGGCAGGGGGCAACGGAGGGAGGGAGGGGGATAGGAGGAGAAGAGGAGGCGCCGTGTGTGTGACAGCGACGGGTGGAACCGGTGCTCCCTGTACTTGCTGAACCTGCAAAGAGGTAGACGGCAGAGTTCAGCGCGCAGGGTGCGGGGGGCACAGGGGGCAGGGGCAGGAAGTGGTGGTGTGGGGGGGGGGAAGGGGGAAAGGGAGGGGAAATGATACCTGGTTTGGAACATGAGCGTTTTGCGGCGCCTCATCATTCCATGCACACTTTCTAATCACATTCCCAGTAACATCTAGCACAAGTGTGTAAATCACTCTTTCGTCTGTGTGAGGTGAGCGAGTCGACTCAAAAAGCCACCCTGGCCTGCCACAGTCGAGACGGCACAGCACAGCACAGCACAGCACAGCACAGCACAGCACCACCTTAATGTCCCCGGGTGCTGTGTGCGCTCCACAGAAGCATCCATATCACCCGGATGCTATGGAGCCCACACAGAACCTTAGCACACACGCATGTGTGAAGTGAAGAAAACTGTGTCGACTCTTTTGCCTCCCTTTGAGATAGCTCAGCTCTGGCTCTGGCTCTGGCTCAGCTGAGCACGGCACGGCACGGCACGGCACGTACCCGGGCCTGCCGAAGTCGAGTCCGCAGGGCACCACCTTAATGTCACGCTTCTTCAATGCATAGTTCACCACCGCCTCGTTCTGCCATTGCCACCATCGCCACCATTGCCGCCATTGTGAGGGGAGATGGGCGGGAGAGAAAAATGAGGAGGGTACGAAGGGAGGAGGGTTAGTGAGCATGGATGGATTGGATGGTGAAAAGAGGGGCCACAAAAGGAGCAGTGAGAGGGAGAGAAGCATGGTGGGGTAAAAGGAAGAGACAATTCTGTCAATGTGCTGTGCAGCTATGTTGGAGTGACTTTTGAGAATTCTCAAAAGTCACTCCAACATATGCAGCCATCAGAGTAACTATGACATGAGTAGGGCCGGCATGAGAGGCAGCGAGAGTGCCTCTTTCGGCCAAAAGGGTGGCATCACGTGGCTGCTCATTTGTGATTAACGTTGAAATGGGTGAGCTGTAGCTACAGGTGGTGCCGGTTTATAAACAGCGAGTGTGAATGAATGAATGCGTCAAGACATAGACAAGGACAGCAAGTGACAGAGTATAAAAGAGGGATGGAGGGGAAAGGGGAGGAAGGGGACCGGAGGGAAGGGGAGGCAAGAGAAGGAAAGGGGCGTGGAGGGAAGGGGAGGAGAGGGGCAGGGAGGGACGGGGCGGGGGAGGGGATGGAAGGGGTGGGGAGGGGGCGGTGAGGGCAGGGGCAGGGCGGGGATGGAAAAGGAGGGGCGGGGAGGGAGTGCACCTCTGCAACCATGAGGGAGTACGTGGAGTAGACAAGGTAGGCAACGGGAGGGGAGGGACAGGGCGGGGTGGGGCAAGGAGCGGAAAGGAAGGGGAGGGAAGGGGAGGGAAGGGGAGGGGAGGGGAGGGGCGGGGAGGGATTGCACCTCTGCAACCATGAGGGAGTACGTGGAGTAGACAAGGTAGGCAACGGGAGGGGAGGGACAGGGCGGGGTGGGGCAAGGAGCGGAAAGGAAGGGGAGGGAAGGGGAGGGAAGGGGAGGGGAGGGGAGGGGCGGGGAGGGATTGCACCTCTGCAACCATGAGGGAGCACGTGGAGTAGACAAGGTAGCCCCCCCCATTTTTCGAGTCCGAACTCAACATGTCAATGGCTGCTAGAATCAGCTCCTGCCGTGGCGTGGTGCGGCATGGGACGGGACGGGACGGGACGGGATAAGATGGGGGCGAGAGAGAAGAGGGAGTGCGAAGGGGCAAACGGGGAGTTAATACGGCAAACAGTGGGAATGGGAATATGAAAGAAATGTTGTGCGGCTGCACTGAGAAGAGCAACAGCAGGTTCACATCGCAGTTCCTAATTGCTCACGTGTTTGAAGAAGTGTTTTGAGACGTCTCAAAACACTTCTTCAAACACGAAGAGCAACAACAGGTTCACATCGCAGTTTCTAATTGCTCAGTCAGTCTCTCAGTCCACTTTTGAAAGACGTCTCAGAAGAGCAACAACAGGTTCACAGATCCTGCTTGCTCTGTCTCTCAGTCCTGGTGCGACTTTTGAGATTTTTTTTTTTTTGAGAAGTCACATCAACCAGGAAGGCCCTTCTTGACAAGGTAAGCAGTAAGCAGGAGCACAAGAACATTCACACCCTAAACCCTCACGTCCTGGCCTTGCTCTCTTGTCCCCTGAGACTTGTTTTGAGCAAGGTTGTTCACAATCTCACCATTCCTGCCTCACCACTGCTCGCACATTGTGTGTGTGTGTGTGCGCGCGCGCGTGCGTGCGTGCGTGCGTGCGTGCGTGTACCTTTTGCAGATGCGAGCAGTTGAGAATGTCCGCCTCTGTCTTGCTCACTTTGACGGACGAGTCCTTTGATAGCACCTGGGGAAGGGGAGGGAAGAGGACAGGGGGAGAGAGGGGCGAGGGACAGGAAAAGAGTGGAGAGGAAATGGGAAAAAAACACAAGGACCAAAGTGAGAATTCGCTGTTGTATTACATGGTGAGAACATAGTGTAAGGGAG